CACTAATATTCAGAATAAGGCGATATTGGGAAACCTCCTATATAGTTCTTCTGGTTTTTATGTTCCTCAGAACTTGTTCAGCGGCAGCGGTCTCAATGGTTTTGCCAGCTATCTGGATGGCGGCCAGCTGCCGTTCGATATCAACGACTTTAAGCGAGAGTCGAGCGGCAAGGATCGTGGCAGCGCCATTGAGGTGATTGGTTCGCGTTCGGATGACGAGAGCTATACGCCCGGCTCCAATTATTATAAGCCCGAACCGTTGAACAGGAGCTACAGCAATAACAATGCCAACGGCAACGGCGGCAGCGTCATACCGGGCCTGGGTGGCAGTGGCAACGGCGGAGGCAGTGGCGGCTCCAGCGATGAATATAATCCCAGTCAGGGGGTGTCTGGCTATGGTGGTGTGTTGCCACCACCAGCGCCGCCCATATTCGGTGGCCCGGCACAAGAATATGCGCCGCCACCGCCGCCGCATCTTGGCTACGGTCCGTCGGATAGTCAGTATACGCCCGCGCCTTTGAGTAGCAATCCAATGGCACCGCCACCGCCCATGCCGCCGGCCATAACAGCGGCGGGCAGCGTGGACGACTTCAACAGCACCTGGGACATGAGCATGACCTGGACGCCGCACGACACCAGCCTGAACAGCAGCGGTGCCAGCTCCAGCTATACAGCGCCAACGCAATCGACGCCGCACTCGCCGCCCCACTTCGAGCGCAAAGGCAGCAGCAGCGCGCCCATTGAGTACAGTGAACATCATAATGTGTCAGCGCTGGGCGCACAGGATGTGGATCATCGAACGATTCAGCTGCCGCCGGCATTCAATTTTCGCGCCAAGTCAGCGCTGAGCGATGAGCAAACGCGGCAATTAGTGGACATTGATCATAGGAATTTAATATCGCTGACTGGTTCGCCAGGCGGTGCCGATAAGGTGTGTTTAGGCAGTACAGTAAAGCCTGTCAAAATTGCAGGTTGTTTTTAAATGTGTTTCAAAGCAATCACTTGTTATAGATTGCATCTCTCAATGCCATTTGCTTCAACTTCTGTATAATCGCTTTGAAGAATGTAATTAATATTTATGCCTTTGCAGGACTTTGGCGTTGGCGATGTCGATTACCGCACAGCGCCCAAAAACGAGGAGGCCGGCAGTGCTATACGCAGTCTGGGTAACAATTCGCCCATGATGGCGCCGCCTGGAAGCTATGTGAAGAAGACTAGCTCGCCGCAGAAATCCAATGCGAGTAAGATCAAAGTTTTAAATCTACATACGACGGCATCAAATTAATTTCCATATCTACTTACAGGTTCCTCTTCGGAATCAGATCGGGTGGATGGTTCGGCACGCTATGATCCCGCAGATATGGTTGTTGATATGGACATGTCCGATGAGGATCTGGAGGAGTCGCAGCTAGGTATTGGCAAGAACCGTCATTAAAAATAAAATTTCTTAGCTTTAGTGGCAAATTTGACATATAACAATTTCCATACAGAGCTCAATGCCAATGCGGAGCAGCTGCATCTAGACAATGCCGATGGAGAACTGGATGCTAATGGCGCCTTAACTACCCGTCCTGTGCTGCTAGAAACGCCGCAGGACTTTCAATGGGATGCTAACAACAGTTTTCTAACGGCACCGGGCGCCGGCAACATGCAGGACATGCAACAGCAGGCCGATGCACAGCAACAAATGCAACAGCCGCCGCCGTTGCCACCACAGCAACAGCCATGGAATCAAATGCAACCGCCAATGCCCTGGAACGGCAATGAGGGCAACAATGGAGCGGGTGGTGTGCCGCCACCACCGAGGCCACCGTTTGCAAGTGGTCCATTTCCGTTTCAGCCATTTGGCAATAGTCCAGATAATATGAATCGCGGACGTGGCCGTGGTCGCGGCTGGTCGGGACCGTATAGACCCAATTATCAACGTATGCCCGGCCCCTTTGATGGCGGACAGGGGCCAGGACCGCGTCCGTTCTTTCAACGTGGCGGTGGACCCATGCGCAACAATGGCGGACGTGGGCGCATGCGTGGTAAACCTTGGATGTAATTACGTATTATAGCTTCAATACAGTATACATATACATACACACACCCACGAATTGCCACACACACACACACGCGTATGGAAGTGTATAGTTTATTTTAGTTATTAGTTGACTTTATCTCATTTGGATTTAGCCTTACGACGCATATACAGCCCCCATACACACACACACTCACACGCGCGCTTAGTTTTAATTATCTTGCTTCAAAGCTGTGGATCGTTGGCTATTTAATAAACTATATAGAAGCCCATTTGGACGCAACAGTATGGACACCCAGCTAAATGCGAGCTATGTTTAAGCATAACGTTTTACAATTTCCTGATATAAATACAATATAATCTATATATTATATGCATATATACGACAGTGTTGCACCTGGTCTCCCTTCACGATTTTGTCTTGATTCTAATATATGATTATATATATATATTCTATATATATGGTTAAAATCACGGCATGCATACCTAGTTGGGGTTATACTAAGAGAGGCGCATCTGAGAATTTATAAAACCAATTTTTAGAATGAATAGAACAGATTTTAAGAGTTTAATAAACTGCATCCACGATCTTTACGATGTGAATTTTTGGGTTTGTCTGGGTCTTACCTCAATGAACTCCTATTGCTTTTTTGGCAGAATATTTTGTTTTCTTTCAAACCCCCCAAGTCCTGTGCCAAATTTCTGTTTATTTCCTATGTGGCCTATAAGTTTTGAATTAAAAGTCAACGATACAAATCTCGATTTCAATTGTTCTCACCACACACAGACAAACACATAGAAAAACTTACTTCAAGACTTGTTTAGAAACATATTACAAAAATTTCCTTTAAGTTTACAGTTGCCTTAGTTTATAAATATTACATATAATTTTAATATATATATATGTAACCTAACTTTAGTTAACTTGAAACATTGCTTTTAGATTTCAGCCCTAGACGTAAGCAAAAGTATGATGTAAATAATATAAATATAATTATTAAATTAACCACTAAATGTATCTAAATGAACTTCGGTTACGCCAAAGTTTTACGCTCGTCACTGAATGTCTACATACAATATTTAAATAATAACCCTCTGTTCGGATAAAAAAAAACAACAACAACAAAATCTCGTTTAAAGAATTTCAAATTAAATAAAAATTAAATTCTTTTAAACATTTACTCGAAAGTAAAGGGGCGCATCTGGTATATAGATATGAGCAATTCCTTTAATTTTTTCACTGATCCATTGGACATAACTATGTGGAATGACTGAACTCCCATGTGGGCGTGACAACAAAATTGACATTTTCCAAACAAACTGCAAGACTGATCCGAGTTTCTTTATAGTAAAAATATTTCCCAATTTGGAGTTCTAGAAAAACATTCTACAGTGGCATTGCCGAACATATAAGGGTAACTTCTAATCTCAAATCCAATTCTCGAACAAAAGAACTCTCATAATCTCTTAAGTACAAACTCTGCCATAAGCAAACCAAATATCATATCATCGTCGTATGCCAAAACCAAAAAAATAAAAATAAAAAACTTGTGAAGAAATTAAATAGAAAATAAAAGTTATAGTCAGTTGATCAGCAAGTCATATGTGTATCAAAATTACCTTAACTAATACTAGTTATTAAATAGATAATATATATAAATTTTATGCTTAGTGTAGTTAAGTATAATAATGTACATTTAGCTGTTTAAATACAAACCTTAAATGTGATATTTAAAATTGCAAAACCTTTTTTCATTTCATGTGCACGCATTGCAGTGTTCAAATCAAATTTCGCGTCCTGTGTCCTATGCGGCACAGGATCTAAGGCAGCATTTAGTGTTGTTTACCTGTTGACGTTGACGGCACTTAATCACATCCAGTTAGGTGAGCTGGTTTGCTCTTACTGTTTCTTCTTTTTGTTCGACATCGGAAGTCGGAACTCATCAATCGTCTGTCGGCGAGCTCTTGTTTTGACTCTGCTTATATTTTGGGGGCGTTACGCCCGCTGCTCAGCATATTGCGTTCTCAAGGACCTTTTTCTTTGGGTTTAGGCAGGGTTACCGCGATAGCTGGAAATTGGAAATTAATGAGCCAAATCGTTGGGTTAAAATTTGTATATAGTATATGTGGAAACGGAAAATATTTGCTGCTCTAATAACAGAAAGTAGGAAATAATTTTTTTTATTATTAATAATTATATTTTGAATATAAAAGTGTTATTTTATAAAGATTTGATTTGAGTAGATCTTGTAATTTTTAATAAAGTATTTGACTACAACTTCAAATTGTTTTCCAAAAACTACTAACTATATATAATATATAATTCAATTTATACAATAAACATTCTAATCAAGGAAAATAAATTATTGAAGATAATAATAATAAAATAATATTAGGAACAATATAAATTGTATTTACCATATATGAACATAATAAATGTTTAGTAATATTACGATCATCTATTGCGGTGCTGATTTCATAGCATTTCAGCTAAATAAAATATTTATTATTTTAATTTATTTCTTGTATTTAAACGATATTTATGAAATTAGAATTATAATTATAAGAATTTTTTTTAGCTTCGACTGGGAACTTTTTCATAAAATCGAATTGTTACAAAATTGCATTTAAAAGAAAATTTTAAAAAAATCAAGCAACAAAATATTGCAATGGGGCGTGACTGTAAAGATATGGCTCTACTCCACGCCCCTAATTCCTGTTTATATATATAATATATATGTTTTATGACAATACAGACGACTCAATTATAGATATTAGGCATATGTTGGATCTACAATCTACATATGTATGTATATGTGTATTTTTTGTCTTGCTCTGTACCTATGTTTATTGTATTTCAATTTACAAACCTCCCAACTTCTTAAATAAAAATCAAACAAAATGAGTAAATGATTCAAATTTTGAGCCAATATACTCTTTGTGAACGAGTACAAATAAGTATAAACTCAGTTTAGTATTCATTTTCGACTACATCATAATTATATTTAATAAACGCTCTTAAAATCCTAACTTATATACAAAAGTCTATCAGCTAAATTTATGAACTAACAGCCTTTAAAAGTTGACACTAGGTTCAAGTGTTGCAGCAACACGTCCCGGTTGCATTGATGCCCCCTCACCAGCCCCCGCCCGCTCAGTAGTCTCGGGCGAGCAGCGTGAGCAGATCCCCAATGTACGCCTGCGCCATTTGCAATGTCTCGTACTTGGAGAGTCGTCGATCGTGGCCCAGAGACGGCACCACATCTCTCAGCTTGTCGAAGGCATCATTGAGGCTGTTCATGCGGCGACGTTCGCGTGCATTGGCCGCCAGCCGACGCTTGCGCAGGACATCTTTGCCGCAGCTCTCGTGCTCCTCCGGCTCCTCCTCGCAGGAGGCACTCGGATAGGCATAATGATAGTCGTAGGGTCTGCTGCGCGCTGTCTTTTGCCAATATTTGGCTGCCTTTGTTTGGTATTTGTTGGCGCCTGCAGACAGTTGCTGTTGCATCTGATGTTGTTGTTGTTGTTGCTGCTGCAGCTGCTTGTGCTGCTGTTGGGTTTGAGCGCTGAGCATTTGCTCCAGCTCCAGCACGGCTGGCGTATCGTAGTACAGATCCAGAGAGCAGCTATTGTTGCCATCGGATAAGCTGTCCGCACTGCCGCTAAAGTCTCTGTCCTCTTGTTGATTCATCAGCTGCTCCAGCTGCTGCTGCAGGTTGTCCTGGCCGAGCATGGTCTCCGAGGAGTCGGCCTCCAGGCTCTCGGCGCTGTAGTAGAAGTGCTCGATGAGCTCGTTGTTCGTCAACATGTTGTGCGTGTGTGCTAAGCCAAAGGATAACTGACTGAAGGCCAGGCCCAAACTGAGCCTTAAATAGGCAGCACAAACGGCAGCAGCAGCAACAGTTGATGTTGATTGGCTGCTGCCGGTGCTCTTACCTGATTCGCTGAGCTCAGCTTTGGCTCGGTCTGATCCTGTTTTCTACCTGGCCGGCATTTACCTGAGCGCAGCCCGTGCCCTAAATTGGCTTGCGGTCAAAACGTTTAATTGCCATGGCAAAGCAGCTCGATTTGACCTGCTATATAGACACATATATACATACACATAAATTTACACATATATACATGCATATATTTAGTGCATCTTCTTTTTTTTTTTATACCCTGAACCCATTTTCAATGGGAAATCAGGGTATAATGGTTTTGTTGAAATGTATGTAACAGGGAGAAGGAGGCGTGGCAGACCCCACAAAGTATATATATTCTTGATCAGGGTGACGAGCTGAGTTGATTTGGCCCTGTCCGTCTGTCTGTCCGTCTGTCCGTCTGTCCGTATGTATGAACGCGTCGATTTCAGAAGATATAAAAGCTAGAGACTTCAAATTTTTTTTAAAATGTCCGTAATTACAGCGCGCATATCAAGTTTATCATTAAAAATCGATAACTCATCTCGATCTTTTTTTATCGATAAAAAACCTTATCGAAACCCAGTTATAAAATTATATCTTCTACACCTTTATTGCTAGAGTCTCCAAATTTTTAATGTATGCTTATATGCAATTTATACAATTTCGGTTTTTGTTAAAATTTACCCCCCACCTCTAAATTCACCCCCTCACCCTCACTTTTGTAAAAAGCGTATTTCAAATACTAGAGACTTGTGCTTTGGCAATTACATGCATATTCATGTTATAATCATAATCTAAAAGTTTCATAAAGATCGTACGTCCATAAAAAAAGTTATTAAACAATTAAGTTCTCATAGTAAGCGCACACTGCAGCCCATGCGTGTTTATGCGTGGTTGCTTGTATGTGTATGTGTGTGTGTGTATGCGTTTGTGTCTGTATGCGTGTGTGTGTGTATGTGTGTCTGTATGCGAGTGTGTGTATGTATACCTGTGTGTGCGTACGTGCGTGTGTGTGTGTGTGCGTGTTTTTTGTGTAAGCTGAAAGTCGCGAAAAAGTATTGAAATATCTATTGCTCCAAGGGTTCAGGGGATCTCGTAGTCGAGCAGTCTCGACTAGAGCTTTCTTACTTGTTTCAATTTTAATTCGATATGTCAAACAATTGTTGCCAAGGTCACTTAGGGATCACACAAAGCCTTAAAGCCAGCCTTTTGTTATATATCGCATATCTTCACATATTATATGAAGCCAATTCATTTATTATTATTATTACAATTTTTTTTTTTTTGCATCTTTCTTACTCTCAGCATTCTTATTGTGCTTTTGGCCAGTAGCCAGTCGCCAATTTAGTTTGCATGTTTGTGGTCTAGCGATCCTCAATCCAGTAAATGTTTTGCTGCACCAAACAAAAGAATTTCTCTCAAGTGCGGTTTTCCTTTGTTGCAACTTTCGATTTCAGCCATTATTGGGTCAACTAAACTGAAATTATCTCGAGCGATTTCTTTGAAAACAGTTGCAGCTCACCGTACGTAAATATAACTGTTTTTTTTTTCACACGATCATGAAGCGCCCAAATTTACATTTATTTGCGATAAAATATTTCTCTTGAGATGGAAATCTGTTTGAGATATGTCTAAAAACTCTTTTATACTGTAGCTAGATCAGTGATTCATAAAAAAAAAAGGTTTTTGCTTCTCAAGAAAAAGTTGCTCGTGGTATATATTAAATTAAATTATATCATGTTATAATATTTTTTTGGTTTATAAAAAAAAGCATGCTAGTAGCATGAAAAACTTAGTCCATATCTAAAAAAGCTGGATTATTTCAGATGTTCTTTCTTTTTCTTCCACTCTTCCCAACTACCTGAGCAAAGATCTATCGCCAATTTACATAGCTGAAAATTGTATGAAACATTTTTCATTTCTGTTATTAGTTTATCAGACTTAGGATCTAGAAATAAACGTTAAATTGCGTAAGGCCCGAATTTACCTTCTGTATTTTTAGTCTATGCTACGCCGTAGGTAAACAGCTGTCAGCAATATTATTGTATATGGCTATATGCAATAAGAAGCAAAACAAGAAATAAACAAATATTTATTTATTTATTTATTTATTTATTTATTTTTTTAGATAAATCGACTTTAATGGGGTGTATAAGTATCATATGGATTTATAGTAAACGAATTGAACAAAATCCGCTGATGGATATTAGCTTTCTTGTGTTCTACTAACCGGAATCATTTAAGACTGTCATATTATATAGCTCATATAATAATAAAAGGAAACTCAATCTAACAAACATATTCTTATTTACTTATATGAAGAATTTCAAAAAATACTTTATTTAACTTTATTTGTACAAATAAAATACACTTGGCTTCCTTGCACTGAGATATATGGCTATTATATATAATATTAAAATAAAAGAGATCATGTTATATGATTCCATCATAGAGTTGTTGTACTGTACTCTAAAGGCGACTTCTCTGTCTTGAATGAAATCGCCAAGGCATAACATGCAATCTCTTGGCACCCCATGGCTAGCTGTTGCTAGTAACAAAAACTTATCAGTCGCCCACTTAACACTTCTGCTGCCTCGGCTGACGAATGGAACCGTGTTTGTCCGCCTTTTTACCGCTACCATTAAATGCTTATTAAGATATAGGTATATATATCCTTGAGGCTCGTGTCTGTTAACAAAAAAAAAAAAAAACAAAAAATACAAAAAGGAAAGCAAAGGAAAAGGACACAGATTACCCAACGGCAGTCGCAATGGAGTCATAAATGTCACGGCGCTATTTATGTGATGACAATTTATGATACTCATCAATAGGGACTGCCGCTCGGTCAGAAGGCGCAGCGAAGCTACCTGCCGAAAGGATCCTGCCAGCCGAGAAAAAAGGGTATTTAGTTGATTTTCAGCTCGCTTACTGTTTGTTTTCCTCATCATGCTCAAGTGTCAATAAATTCTCATATAAACGTTGCAATTACCTCGACACATTTGGGTTATCAGAGACGCGTCTAACGGATATGCTGATATAGAGACAGAGGCTGGGCCAGAGGTAGCGGCAGCGGCTTGTCGTGTGTCTTAAGTTATGTTTGTGTTCCTAGAAATAGACTCAACACCAAAAATTAAAAAACTATTCAAATTGTCGAGATATTTCGAAAACTCGAAGCTAATCCCATGAGCGACAAGCTGTCTGGCCGGCAGGCAAAGCGAATTTTCGCAGAAACCAAAACCAAAATATTAGATATGTATGTGCACCGAATATTAGTCATAATTCTGGAATATTACATGGTAATTTGCTGGCACAGACAATAACGGCAGAACAATGGAAAAACTATGGCTACAATTGCATTGTTTGGCCAAACAAAAGGGGACGCTGGACAAGTGCACAAGCACTTGCGACTTTCCCAGGCACAAAAGAGAATCTTCATCTTGGTCTTAGCAACAATCTCACGCAATAGTTGAACAATGGTTTAGCAACTAATCGCATTTTCGCAATTTAGCGCCAACAGCTAAACCGCTCGACGAAAACGATTAATCCTGGACGCAGAAGAAAAGCAGATTATCATCAGTTGTCCTATTGTTGAGTGGAAATCGACTTGACTTGAATTGACCTTCGGGCCGCAGCACCGCCTACGCGTCTATTGTTTGCTATTTTGACAAGGACATGCAACTGGCCCAACGGCTGGGCAGGTAAACGATGCGTCGTACATGCTAATTGGAAATTCCAGTCAAGGCGTTGCCCATCTTTAGCTGATCTCCGATTCTCCGATTCAGGCTATGGCCCATGATTGGGTCCGAGCCGTTGGCTTTGGCGTTTTCAGGTCGTTTCGCCAGAAATTGTGCAGCATAATGTCGAGAGTTTTGCGGTCGCGTGGCACATCGATCAGCGGCTCATCATCATCGGGCAGCAGAAGCCAGAAGCCAGCCGAGCGTCAAGATCAAACGTCACGATCCATTCCGTGCCCTTTTGTCGGCGCATCTTTGTGTGAAATATCGGGACAACTCTTGCGGCTCTTGTGCATCATTTGTACATTTTAGCCATGGCCGGCGCTCAGACGCTTGTCTGTGTTTAGAATTGTTTTGGCCGTTTTCCATAGAAATGCAGCCAAGTGTTTGAATTGATTTCTCCCTACATTTAATTAACCTTTCGTTGCGGCTACCTTGAAAGTGGGCGGGAGTCCAAGTCTGATAGCCATGGAAAGTAGTTCACTTAGACGATCATGTGGATCATGGATGACTCGAGAGTATCATACAATTCCGAAATTGCAATGGACAGCATGATATGCAATTCTGGACTCACTCTGAATCGCAGATATATCTTGATCATCACTTGGGTTTCATTCATTCATATATAAAGTGAACTGTCACTGTTTAGCAAGTCGAAGTTCACATACTCTTTATATTTTCTTGATATTTAAATGTCTCAAAATACATTTTTTTTTTTAATAAAAAAAGGGGAAATATTTTTATTATTCCAAATTTAGATTATATAAAAATATTTTTTTTTTCGTTATATTATTAAATAATTTTATTTAAAGAATAAAATAGAAAGAGTCTAAGCTAAAAATGTTCTTGAAAAAACAAAAATAATTTTTCTATTTTTTTTTTAATTAAAAAGTTTCCTTTGTTTAAGTCTAGGAATAAAGAGAAACAAAACTCGAAAATCTTGGAAAAACTTTAAGAAAGGTACTCTATCAAAATCTGTAAGCTTTAGCTAAAAGTTCATAAATATTACTTCCATATAAAGCAATCCCACATAGCTCCCATAAGCGCAACATTAACTCAAATACTTTAGCATTTACATTAAGATATATGTAGGTATGTTTATTATTTTATTGGAAAGAATTGAATACATTTCTCGTAAAATTATAAATAAAATATTTATATAGACGGGTTGGTTACTCACAGGCATAACCACAACTAACTGACGAAACAGAAAAATATATATATGTGTGTGTATAATTTAAAATATGCCTAGCTTGAAGAGTTCGTAACAGTTAGATGTAAATTGTGCGCTGTGAGTTGCCATAAATATGTAGAAAACTAATTACTAAAACAAATGAATAATTATATATAAATTTTTGCTTTGTGAAATTAGGTTTTTTTTTTTTTTTTTTTTTTTTTTTATAATACTTTTTGCTATAATAGAGAGCGGGTTCTCGAATCACAAAATCTTTAATATCGAACTGAGCAAAGAACG